GGGCTTTTTCATGAAATAAAATTGCTTTTGGATAATCACCCATGTTGCAATGCACCGAACCGATATTGTTGTAGGAAGCACTTAAATTACGATGATTAGAAGGAAGTGATTGTTGTCGAATTCCAATGGCTTTTTCATGAAATGAAAGTGCTTTTGGATAATCACCCATGCTATTATACGCATTACCGATGCGCATGTTGGATAAAGCTAAGTCATAATGAGTGGAAGGAAGGGATTGTTGTTTGATCGCAAGAGCTTTCTCATAATTAAAAAGTGCTTTTAGATAAGCACCCATGTTATAATACACCAAACCGATATTGCTATATGAACTACCCAAATGAGGATGATTGGGAGGAAGTGATCGTTGTCGAATTCCAAGCGCTTTTTCATGAGATGAAAGTGCTTTTGGGTAATCGCCCATGCTATCATAAACCAAACCTATGTTGTTATATGAACTACCCAAATGAGGATGATTGGAAGGAAATGATTGTTGTCGAATGACAAGTGCTTTTTCATAATAAGAAAGTGCTTTTGGATCATCACCCATGCTGCCATATACAGTACCAATTCTGTTATAGGAATCCCCCAAATCAGGATGATTGGAAGGAAGTGTTTTTTGTTTGATAGCAAGTGATTTTTCATAAAATGTAAGTGCTTCTTGATATTCTCCTTGAAAATATTTGATTCGACCTAGTTGATGATAGATATTTGCCTTGTCGCTCTCGTTTGTGTCTTGATGGAGTAAAACTTCATAAACTTCTTGAGCCTTGTTAGACTGGCCCATTTTAATTAGCAACTGACCCAATCTGTACCATCCTTCTTCATCTGGAAATGTCTCCTGCCGGATCTGATCGCTAAGAGTCCGAAGGTCTTCATCGTTATCACTGGTCAATGTCAAATTCACTTGATAAAGATGATTATTTCCGTCCATTGGTTTAATATCTTCAATGCGAAAAACGGTATGCATAGAGAAGAGAACTTCATCTTCTGTATGAAAATAACTAACATCACTAACAGAAGCAAAGGGAGTTGTTGAATAAGTCGAATTAATGGACATAATAAATAAAACTCCAACAAGATCAGGATTTGTAGCAGCTTGTGGTGCAAAACAGAGAGAAACATCACGATTTGTACTAGTCGATAAAAAGTTATTAAATGAAAGAAGTCCACCTTTAGTGTTTATCATTTCGGTAAAATGTTCTTTTGAAAGACATTGTCCACGATAAACTGTAAATGTTTTACCAGATTGTTGACCATCAAATTGTTTCGAATGGAGTCGTTGAATATCACGATGTAGATCATTAATAAAGAAACCCATTCGAACAATCATATCAGCATCCATTAATCTTAATGCTTGATTGAGCATCGAATATAAAAAATATTGATAAGTATACCACCAAATAGGTATATGATCATGATAGTCACGTTCTAATTTTTCAATATTATGTAAATCATGCTCATTTTTCACGAATGCTTCGCGACAATAATTAATAAATTCTTTAATATGTTTATCTTCGAAGTCGATGGTTAGTAAGATCTCTTTCAAGATCTGAGTATACATGAATGATGGATCTAATTGATCCAACTTTTTGTTTGATGCCACAAAACTAATTGATATGGCATTTTGCTCACATTGTTGAGTAGCTTGTTTAAGAGTTTCACAGATTATTGTTATATCTGTGAAGACTCCTTTTATTTTAGGCCATTCTCTGACCCATTGTTTATCACATTCTTGATTGTTAGAAAAAATAAAAATGGTATCTATTTGGGGCATATGATGCACATGAGGTACAATATTTTGTCCAAGTGACTCGGAGACAATCATACGTACTTTATTATTGGTCATGGTTTGAATAAATTCAACACATTCTTTACCATCTGCAAACGTGCTTATGTTATTTGCTACACATTTCAATTGCTTGATTATATTATTACAATCAGCATTATTATCATTAATATTGTTGTCCAACCAAATCAGAGGGACATTTTGCATTTTTTGCATGTGCATACGCCGTTTTACAGCTGCATCCTTGGAAAAGTTTGATACATGTTTAGCACTAGCTTGTGTATTGGTTTCAACAGATGTTAGCAATTTGTTGTGCAGCATTGTTTGTTGTAACGTAAACTACTTCAAGAAGAAATGTTTATAAATAAATGAGAATAATGTGTTATTTTACAATACAAGCATTTTCTTTTGAGATTGTTGTTTTTATCACTATTTACATTGTTTCCTTTGTTATCAGTATTTCACCTGGTTCTTTTCTGTTTGTTAAATATACGTTACAAAATACTACAAGTATCATCAGAGATGTTTATCAGTTATCGACAAATAAAAAATATGTTAAAGTATGATCATTGTTCATAATTCAAAAAGTAATCTGTAAGAAAAGTCGTTGAAATACATGTCGTTACAGAAAATCTATAAAGGGAATTTTTTTCAGTCATTATTACAGTATGATGAAAGTTTACAATTATTTTTATCTCGAGACAAATGATTCCTGAATGATATGATAAAAATATCAGAACAATAATAAAGATTTTCTGTCGGAATAATAAGGAAAAAGATTAAAACCATTTCTATAAAACTGAAAAAGAAAAATTTAATTATTATATGTGTTGTCGATTGTTCTTTTTTTATCTTCTTTTCATGAGTCAAAGACTACGCGTATGTATGTTCTATGACTAACATAATGTTATCAGAAATATGCACATTTTGGTAAATCAAAACAAAATTCAGCATTGATATACCTTTAAAATTAATAAAATTCATGAAAAAATCTTCCTTTACGTGTTATTTATTTCTGTACTAATAAAATTTTCCAAATAAATAACTTAACTATAATGTAATCGCCTAATTGACCATTGTCGCCTACTTGCCACTGGATAATGATCAGGTGTAAACTTTTGTAAAGTTTTACATCTTCTTAATTATGTTATAATCTTCTGTGATAGGCATTCCCATGTTTATTATTCTATATTGTATTTCCTCTTTGAATATTTTAAGAAAAATAAATATTTGGTTCACAAAATGTAATACAATATTTTTATTAAATAAAATCAAACAACATAAAGACAAAAATGAGGCGCATCGTCCAGTCGAAGAAGCTGAACTTGACATATCA